GTCTTTAAAAACAGCAAAAGATGGATGGCGCAATACAAAACAATCGGTGGGCCCGGCATGGCCAGGTGGTTAGGGCACTCGACTCGCAATCTGCAGGTCGCGGGTTCGATTCCCTGTCCCACCAAACATATTCGCCTTTTCAGACGTGGGGTGTTATAATGTGATGTTCAATCTCAATATTCGTTAGTAAAAGAGTTGGCGGTGGGCGATGGTGACTAGCTACCTTCCCTCTAGTCTTACACTAATAAATTAGAGACGGCTAGCGCAGATAGCCCTCATGTAGCTTTGCGCGAAATTCATAACAAACAAACAAACAAAACAATCGGTGGATAAACAACTATAATTCTATAAAAAGAAGCTTGTTACCAAATACTTAAGGTGAGGTTGTGGCGATTGGATATCAGTCGTTGTCGTGTTTAGTAGCGTATACAATTATTACTTAAGTATAATTATTAATTCATAACTTTTTTAGTATTACTACATATTAATAGATGTTTGTCTACCATACTTTTGGGCAATTTAACAGAAAACAAAAGCATAGATTTTTTCAGGTCAACTATTTTAAAAATCCAACAACAAATAAATGGTGAAATTTCGATGTAAGTTGACATTTAACTAATAAAAGCAGCAACTTACCTTACTATCAAAACGATTATGTTAGTTATCTTAGAGCTATCTCATAAACGCTAATTAGCTCTTGGTAGTGTGGTACTTATTAATACTATAATATGATTTATTTCTGGAAAATATAGTGTTAATACAAATGTAAAATGTATATATATATAGTAATCATTCATACTTCGATTCTTTGGTTATCATAAAGTCATTTTAAGCTAGTTAGCGTAAAGTTATTAATAGTAAGATTAATTGCTGCTTTTTACAAAAATTAAATTTAAATTTCATTACTTATTTTTTATTGAATTTCAAAAATGGCTGCCTAACGTAAGAGCAAACTTACTCGTTTCCTCTGTCAAATGTCCTATGTTTTTTTAAGTATATTTGTAAATCAGTAAGATATTCTATAGACACTGCACTTATACTCCAGGTAGGTGTTCAATAAGATATTCTATAAACACTGCACTTATACTCCAGGTAGGTGTTCAATAAGATATTCTATAAACACTGCACTTATACTCCAGGTAGGTGTTCAATAAGATATTCTATAAACACTGCACTTATACTCCAGGTAGGTGTTCCATAAGATATTCTATAAACACTGCACTTATACTCCAGGTAGCTGTTCCATAAGATATTCTATAAACACTGCACTTATACTCCAGGTAGGTGTTCAATAAGATATTCTATAAACACTGCACTTATACTCCAGGTAGCTGTTCAATAAGATATTCTATAAACACTGCACTTATACTCCAGGTAGGTGTTCAATAAGATATTCTATAAACACTGCACTTATACTCCAGGTAGGTGTATGCACCACCTTAATTTATTTTTATTAAAAATATATTTTTTATCCTTTTATAATGCCTGTTTCATATGTATCGTTATTGGGTTTAAAGTTGTTTACGTTTTTTGTATCATCACTAATTTTTTGTTTACGGTATTGCATTTTCTGCGCCATTTGTTTTCTCTGACTGCGCGTTCAATGGACTTTATTTCAAGACTCTCAATAAAATTGTATTGATATTTCTCTGTATTTATTTTATTTTATTTTATTGTTATTTTCATACATAAGCTGTCTGTATAACTCAACCAACCTCATTTGCTAGAAAAATCAGTGAATAAACTGTTGTAGTTTTATAAAAGAAGTGTATTACTTTGTATTTGGTTGTCATTAAACACAAAACCACACAACGGACTATCAGTACTGTGCCCACTACGGGTATCGAAACCCGATTTTTTAGCGTTATAAGCTTTCAGACTCACCACTGAGACAGTTAAAACGTATGGTAACTTAGACTGTGGTGAAAGGCAAATATTGTTTATTTTTTTTCACCAAATATCAAGAGCCTTATCAGAATTTGTTATTTCACATACATCCAACAAAGAGCCCATTGTATTATCGTTAATCTTATGAAAATATTGATCACACAACAATGTAAGTGTCGTAATCATAATTAAGGTAAGTATCTTATTACTTTAGAAACACTGAAAACATTTGATATGCATCCTGGCTCATTACGACTCGGTCTTCACTGCTAATTAAAAGCGTACAGGTAGTAAACTTGCCTGAGAGTTACACGTGCTGTGTCGAGTCTCTGTGTCATTATCTCAAGAGGTCGATGTGTTGTGAACTCTTTGTAGGTTGGAAACGGCGCCAACTAGCATGTGGCAGCAAAATCTTTCACGGTAAAACTACAGTGAGTAATCAAACCGAGGATAAGTGACTTGCCTAATTAGAAAGCTTTCGTAATCTGGTTTCACCACCTTCGTAACTGAATAAGCTTTAAAGCTCAGCTGTAATTTTTTATAGCAGAACTCAGAGTTGAAATGAATCAATTTATGTACCTCTGTATTTTCTTATATGAGGAGTTAAAGATACAAATGTAAAAACATTGGATAAAAAGGTACAAGTTATTGTAATTTAGATAGGACAAGTGTACTTTCCTGCAGAAAGATAAATAAACAAAAATAGCACATGACTATAATATCCTCATATTTTCCTGCACACTGAAATCTTACTGGTTTGTTAAAATAAATTGGTTATTTTTAAATAGTCTAGAAGTTTTGGAGAAATGAACATGGGGCAGTATTAAGTATTAGAATGAAAGACGAAACATGACCATCTAAGTAAACCTAAACAAATAGTGTTTATTTTTTTTCCACCAAATATGAAGAGCTTTATCAGAATTTGTTATCTCACATACATCCAACAAAGAGCCCATTGTATTATCGTTAATTTTATGAAAATATTGATCACACAACAATGTAAGTGTCGTAATAATAGTTAATGGAAGTATATTATTACTTTAGAAACACTGAAAACATTTGACATGCATCCTGGCTCATTACGACCCGGTCTTCACTGCTAATTAAAAGCGTACATGAAGTAAAATTCTAAAGACATTCAATCATCAAGTTCTCAAAAATAATGAAATTCCTTTTTGGGTTATTCTCAAAATTCATTCAGAGCATTCCCATTATCCACTGATCATATCTAAGACCCTGGTACCCCAAGGAATGCCAATCAAGGGCTGTTGATGTTCTTATTTTCTTCCTGCCTTAAATCCCCAAATATACCTATTAGAATAATTTACAGTAAATCCATGTTTTGTTGTGTGATATATAATCAGGGATGTGTCATTTTTAGTGTAGTATAACATAGTACAAGCAAACTGTACAGACTTTTCCATAATAATTCATTTTAGCCTTTGTGAGGTAGAGAAGTTGGCATTTGTTTAAATTCATTTTCTTTTATTTCAGTTCTGTAACACTACCTTGTGTTTGCCCTGAGGCCAAAACACTCTGGCAGGTGGCTTCTACATACTAGCTGTAGTAAACATGTCATTAGAAAACAATGTGAGAGTGAAGCACGTATCTATAACCGTATTTATAGAAGCGACAGGATATATTTATTGACAAAATGAAAAGCAGTGATAGTTAAAAAATAAAACACGTATTCATTAAAATTAAATACACCACTACGAAACGGACTTAAGAGGTTATACGCATTTGATTTTCATATGCAGAAGAAAAATGTCTAATGTCATGTACAATCTTTTATTCGTTTTTATGTCTTATCCGTCATAGTTTAACAAAATAATGTTATGATGGTGTTACTGTAAACATTATGTACCCTAATACACTGCCCGAGTGAGACCACTGACTTATAAAGTTTAAATTTGAAAGCATCTTGCATGTGCTTCATTAAATATTGATTATTTTAAGTAGAGTAAAAGAGTTCGTATTTTGGTAGAGTCAAGTAAGAGAATTGTTTCAGTTGGTGTGTTTCTTGTATATCTTCACTAACATCTTAATTTCGTGAGGATCTTAAGCATGTTTTTTGGTATGTTCAACTTTTACCACAACTATATCCAGCCAATATCCATGTCAAGGTAATTTTATCATCGGATGACCACTTTTTTTTGTACAACTGTCTTTTTGATTTTTATATAGTTCTTTGGTAACTTATGTTGTTCAGTTTTATAGGTTTGCTGTTCTTTAAATTTGCTGGAAATTTTTCATTTAGTTCTCTGCTTTGCTTCGTCTACCAGACGCCATGCCATACCATGAGAAAATGGTCCAAGTAGAACATATTATTGATGTCTTGGAACTTAGACAATGTCTAAATACTAGTACGTATTCCGTTTTTTTGTTTTTTTTGCCTACTGACTTCAGATTTATCTTTATATCTTTTTTACATCAAAAATGAATATTCTATTCATAGTCGGATGGAAATTAGCCAGAAAGATTTTTTGCTTGTTATCAATTAAAATATTTTAAAAATATATTTACCAGTAAATATACAAAATATTTAATTATGGGAGTACTCATATATATGAGGGAGGGAGGGTGGTAGGGCTACGTTTCTTAAATATGAAAACTAAAGTACTTGTTTTTCTAGTTATTATTTTCAGTATAAATATGAAGACTTTAAGTGTAGTAATTGCTTTAAGCAAATCCTGTTTTCGCTACGTTTTCTTTGTTGTTATCTAGTGCACATTTCAGCTGTGTGTATTTAGTCTTTCATAACATGAAACTTGTTGTTTTAGACTGATATAAACACGAGTTATAATCTGAAAGTGTCATATTGCAACATACACATGAAGTTTTCTGGCAAGGGTCTACACAATTTCCTTGTGACAGGTTTCTCTGCAGTATTCCCAGTAGACTGTCAATTCGTCTGGTAGCAGATTTTACTTCGATACTATTTCCAGCTGGTGGGTTTCACTGCAATACTCTCGCACGCTACTATTACCCCTACTAACAGATTTCACTGTAGTACTCCCAGCACATTGCTTAATCCCCTATTTGAAGGTTTCAGTTCAATACTCCCATTGCTTTCTCAGCAGTATCTGTGACAGTCTAAGTTTCCTTTTTTGTAAGCTAGTTGAACAATACTGGGTTATTATAGTCAGTATTTCAATATCAGTATAAATATACCCTTCAAAGTTTGTCTTGGTAATTTTCCCTACCAAATTGGCATTTAAAAAACTCTTAAGATTGTGACATTCCAAGATTAACCTAAATACAGCTTTCAAATTCTTTATTGCACACTGTGACATAAATAGGTCGTTTAGCTCCATTTGTTTGTTTTTCATTTATCTTCTTGATCATTCTTGAAGAAATCAACTGGATAATGTAAGATATTTACTGCCCCTTTTCTTTGGGGCTCTTTGAACAAAAAAGTCAAAATGGACAATAGACAGCAGTATTCAAATTGTAAATAACAAATAATAAAGTTAAGGTGAATGAGTTATCATTTTCACGTTTCTTTTTCCAGAAACATGTCAATGGTCACAGGTATTCCTCGGTTGAAAGATGTAGAGTTTGCGGTAGCACGTGTAAGAAGTACTCTTTAATTTTGGTAGTGTAAACAAAATACAAGGATAGCAAAGATAAACCAACTCTTCTTAAATTGACCACATATATATGTCCTTATATTTTTTTCAACTGTAAATTCCTAATGGAATTAGTGAATTCAAATGGAGAACTATATTTGTATATATATATATATCACTTTGAAACATTTTTATAACGGAGATATAGGGCATTTTCTCAATTTGTTAATAATAAATGTGTAAAAAATGGTCAAATTAGGACCGAATATCAGGTGAACATTGAAACCCAAAAATCCAAAACTTGCGGTGGAGCGAGGATATGTGATCTATCTGATTGCTCTTGTTTGCTTATTGTATTTAAGTTTGGAATAAACTTCAAATGCCTCTTCATTTAACGCATGCACCTATTCGTGCACGTTGTTACTCCTGAAGAAATTTGTTTTTTTATTTCATAGGAAAGTCACATTTGACTGTCTGCTGTTTTTACCATGGGAAATCGAACCCCGGATTTTAGCGTTGTAAGTTCGCTGTCCCACCGGGGAACGCTGAAGAAGTTTCATCCAGTTTTTAAATGTAGATTTTACCAATAATGACCACGAAGCTTCAAACGAAGAGGAACATTTGCGTACATTTTGTATATTAAGCTGATATATTTGAAAAGCAAACCATCATTATAAATCATGATTTCCTTTATTAACCTAAATTTGTATATTTTAGGAATTGGAGATGAGATGAAGCGAGGGTTATCTAAAGGGGAGAAGAAACGAACAAGTATTGCGTGTGAGCTACTTACAAATCCAACTACCATGCTACTGGATGTAAGTATCGTTAATAGAACTTGATAAGGCGGATAGTCTTTGTATCTGAAGGTTCCGTCTTTTCATTATCATGTATTGCAAACTTGTATTTTATATTAATTATAAGTTCTATTTGAGAATAAACAGCTTATTATCTATAAACTATTAAGATTGACAGTGTGGAATACCATGCTACAGAAATACTGTTGTTTTTAGCGTAAAGATACATGGCTATCAGCGCTCTGTCTATCGCGGGAAATCCAATCCCGGATTTCAGGTTTATCGGTCTGTAGACTTATTCCTGGACTGCTTGACTGACTAAGTACATATCATACGAATAAGAAGATAACAATTGTGAGCCAGCCAAAACCCATACTCAATTTACAGAATATGTTTCTACTCTTTTTATTACTTTAATTAAACATTTGTGAGTGAGACCTTTTTTTATCAAGCTTCTCAAGGATAGACTCTTAGGCTGACTACAAAAAAACAACAACAAAAAACACGAGGAATTGTACACGAGATTCACGTTGTCTTTGCCTTTTTGAGACAACGACAACGTATGTTGGTCATGTCGTATGTCTTATTCTTCAGGTTGAAAAAAAATACATTTCAGATAACTTCATAAATTATCACCGTATCACTGATATGAGGTGTCTTTACGTTAGAACTATTGTATGTATCTACTGTGCATTGATAGAAAACTCAACAATGTGCGGCATTAGTTACCTAAAAAAAAAAACACTGGTTTTCAGCTACGAATGTAAGACTGCCATTAAGACTATTTAGAATGATGTGGGTGTTTATTCCAATATCTTCATTACACAAATAAATGCCCCCCAGTGGCAGAGCGGTATGTCTGCAGACTTACAACGGTAGAAACCGAGTATCGATACCCGTGGTGAGCAGAGTACAGATAGCATATTGAGTAGCTTTGTGCTTAACTTCAAACAAACACAAATAAATAAATCGTAGATGAATAGAAGCTAATAACCTAGATCAAGTAGTATGAGCTAAACATCAGTAGTTAAATTGATAAGATATTAACTTAAGTTTCAAATATTTTAATACATCCTTTCGTCAAAATTTGATTATGGATAATTGGTTTAAACGATATTCGACCTTAAAATTTAGACAAAAAAGACGTATTTAATAATACATCATTATATGTCTGTATGTATTATATATATATATATATATATGTATATAAATCAATAGGTCTAATGTTATGAAATACATTAATTGTCCATAGCTGATTAAAATCAACAGTACAAAACAATAATGGACATAATACAAAATAAAAACAACATTATTCTTCTATTACCAGTCCTTGTTGTCATCCTCAAGTCATAATGGATAATGTCTGTGGTTATAGCACTCAAACGCGTTGGGGATATTCCATCTGTTAGACAAGATCCCTACGCCGATGTCAAACTCGCCAGCAACTAAGGAAAATCAGTTGGTGGCGAGTTATGAGTTGAGTGCTTGAACCCACAGCATTTCAACTCCTTATGCCTTTCACTGTCTATAGCCAGTTGTGTGATGGCAGTTACCCTTAATATTCAAACATAACCTTAAAGTAGTAAACCACCCTAAGATTCTACAGTGTAAAATTCCACCCTTTTATCTAATATTAAAGATATAAAAAGCAAAATATATTCTTATAGTAGGAATAAAATACCTTATATTTATACAAATCTCCCAACCTCCACTCTTTTATTTAATAATTAGTGACACTAAACAGAACTAAAAACCCTTACCTTAATAGTTCTTAAACCCCCATCTCCCCACCCCCTTCAAAATATATATATATGTATATAGAAAGTTTGCTGTGTTCGGTCCATTGCAGGTATTAATATTAATAACTATGGTTATTAGTGTTATAAGCCCTTAAACTTACTACTGAGCCACTACGTGGTGGTTCAGCGGGAAGGGTTTATAACGATACCCGTGGTGAATAAAGCACAGATAGTCCATTGTGTAGCTTTGTGCTTAACAAATAACTTAAACATTAAAACTTTAAAACACATTTATAATATGATACAGTCTTCACTAAAAGAGATAAAAGTATCTCAACTTTTTATTCTTTGAAAATAAAATTTGAAAAGCCGCAGAATAATATTTTGCCATTTTCATTACAACCCTAAAAAGAAAAAAATCTGCCAAAGAAAAAGTTATTTGAATTTATTAAAACAGTTCACAATAAAAAAACCAACAACAAAAAACATTTATGAGTTGGCAAGGGACAATTTCCTGAGAGTTCGAACATGATGTTGATGGAAGTTTATTCGTAGTTTTCAGTTCCTTCAAGAAGCGAATCTCCACGAATGGTATATTTTTAGGATTGCGTTAACAAAAACTTTTCTCTATAGATAATATCCTTCCTGTATAATTGTGGACTTCCCAATTACGCGTAGGTGATTATAATTTAGTAATTTTGAATGTACAAATGTTTGTTATTTTGATACATTAACGTTACTGTATAGTGTAAGTCATATATACACCTGGAAAAAAGTTAAGCACCCCCGTGTTTTTTTCAAGTGATTCA